AAAAACCAACAGATTTTTTTCCTTCTGTAGAGTTAAAAAGCATTCTGTGTGCCCATCAGATTGAAGTCTGATGGAGCCAACCCTTGAGGCAGGTGAGGAGCAGCAAGGAGATCACCCAGGGCTTGTGCTGAGCTCCACGGCTCCTTGGCATCAGGTGGCCTCAGAGGCTGAGAGATGTCAGCAGGTGGAGAAAAAAGGTATTCATTTAGTTAAATATATTCAACTCCAATTTTAAAATTGCTTCGGGTCTCTCATTTTGTACTTTGTAGCATCAGCTCACAGAATGGGATTGGGGAAATGAGGGCTTGGTCCTGCAAGGAACCTGCTGCTGCGTCAGAGCTGATGTAGGGCAGCAAACAGATGCAGAGAGCCTTTGGGCTGCACTGACCCTATAATCTGTGTCTGGGGATGCTTAGATTTGGGGAAACCCATGGGTACATGACCGCCAGAAGTCATGGTGATGGATGTGCCTCTTTCCTTGGGGTGGGAAAAGATGAACTCTGCATATGATGATACTCTGAACAACTACATGCTCATGGTCCCTTCCTTCTGTCCCCAGATGCATCTCTAGCTCAGCCAGTAATGAAAAATGTTGCTCTGCATATAGATAGAACAAAGTGAAATTGCCTTGCTGGCAGCGGTAGTAATTTTGTTGTGCAAAGATCTTGCTGAATTGTAACTGTTTGGTATTAAAAGCTTGGTGTTTCTGGTTTGTTTGCAGGGGCACTGCTGGAAGAACCTTTATGGGCTCCTAATGACATGCAGGTGGACGATTTGCTTACGATAATTAAGGTAAGAAGGATTGTTATTAATTTTGGCATCGTGGAATGCGCTGTCTCCCTGAAATAAAATGGAGCTTACTGGTGGCAGACCAGTCATCATTCTATTTTAGGGCTCAGCACACAACGGAGGCAGTTTGGAGTGGCACTAAGGCAATAGTTTGTTGTTTTAGAGCAAAGTGTCCCTTAAAACACAGGGGGAAGGGAAATCTTATTTAAGAATTACCTGGGAACACAGCTAAGTGGAAAAAATCCGACTTCCTCCCCCAAAGGATAATAAGGCCTCTGTTGGTGTAACACTGGAAGGGGCATGACTCCTGTTTGGGAGCACTCAGCACAGGGATTGTTTTGTTCTGCTAAAGCCCAGTGGTTGGGTTGGAATTCAGGTTCTAACTTCCCATTTTGAAAAAAAAAAACAACAAAAAAAAACCCAACCAAACACAGAAACGCTAAAAATATGTTTTATTAGTTTATTTTCACCATCTTGAGCTTCTGCAGAAAGCTGGTCTGTCTCCAGATGTGGTGAGGAAGTACTCTGTTCTTGATGAATGAAATAGAGGAAAATCCCTGATCTTAAATGTGATAAACTATTGGGCAAAATTGGAAAGCACTTTACATACACTCCAGGACCATCTACACACTCCTGAGCTCTTAAAACATTTCAGTTTATGAGCTTGAAAAGGTTCCAGGCTCTGAGTTCCCACCAGCATGGCCAACCCCTGCCATGTGCCCATACCCAACATGTAGCCAAGTTTGGAGAGAGCCTTGATGAGAGCAACGTCATGAGTTGGATGATGTGTTTATGAGGGCTGTAAACGTTTTAAGAAGGTGTTTTGGGTGAATCTGGAGCGTGTTACATCTGTAGTCCTTTCACAGCAGTGTTACCTTATATCATAATTGGTGTTTAAGCTTCTTTTTAGTGCTGTGGAATTGGTGGTTTGCTTGTTTGGTGTTGCTGGGTAGTTTACTGGCAGAGGAGTTGGAGGGAGAGGAGGAAATTCAAGCTGTAACAAGAACAAATTCTTTTAATACAGGTTTATGGATCTCAGATGTATCTGTACTTTTTGTTTGGCTTGTGATAAGATGCACTCCTGTGGAATTTGCTTGGAGCAGGGATTTGCATGAATTATTATTTCTTACAAAATGAACATCTGTGCAAAGCATTCTCCTTGTGTTCTGCAGTACCGGAGCGCCGTGAGAGGGGTTTGGTGCCTGGGTGCAATGGTCAGCAAAAGCCAAGTGCTTGGGGGAAAACAAGATGTGATGGTTGAAACAAAGCTGCTGAAATCAAGGGGAAAACTGCTTCCATACTGGGCAGACTGGGCTGTGTGACAGCATCCTGATGTGTGTGTTTATTTTATGCTCTGACCTCTTTCTTTCTCATCCCAGCATGATTTTTAAAAAGCCACATCCCCCAGTTAGGGGGAACCCAGGACAATTATGTTTGACCTCTCGAGGAGTTCAGCTCCATCGCTGGAAGGAACAACTCCATCAATGGCAGGAACTGCTGATTGAAACAGTATGGCCCGAAACACATAGAAGATGGGAGTAAACAGTCATTATGGATGGGCTCTTGATTTGGTACTCAGAACATTTCATCTGAAGGGTTTTCGGTTCTCTTGGAGAGATCTTTCTATAAATTCCTAATTAAGCACATTAGGTGTAGTGTCATCAGTCTGTCTTCCAAAAGCAAAAAGCTGACGTTTGGAAGAAACCTTCGAGCTGCAGACTCAAATTATCCAATATTTAAAATTGTGATGTCTCACGGGAATAGGAAGAGCTACGAAAGAATCGCTTGAAGCTGCAGTGACTTAAAACTTTTCACGTACAGAGGTTGGCTTATTTTATTCAGAATTCTGAAAACAGGAGGGGAGTCAACTCTTTGAAACGGTAGATAACAGCAGGACGAGGGGAAATGGTTTTAAGTTGAGGGAGGGAAGATTTAGGTTGGATGTCAGGGTGAAGTTCTTTACAGAGAGAGTGGTGAGATGCTGGAACAGCTGCCCAGAGAGGCTGTGGATGCCCCGTCCATGGAGGTGTTCAAGGCCAGGTTGGATGGGGCCCTGGGCAGCCTGGTCTAGTATTAAATGGGGAGATTTAATACTATGGTAAGATTGCTGTTGATGGGGGAAAGTGATGAAGAGAATTTCTTCCTCTACTGACGAGTTGAAGCTCATGGTGCATGGCTGAGAGCTGAGCCTCGTGGGTGGTGCCTCAGTGCTGCCATCACTCACTTTGAGAAGAGCCCAGATGTATGTAGAAGGCAACAGATGTGAGGATGTGGAACTGGGGATGTGGTTTAGTGTTGCACTCAGTGTGTCAGGTTGATGGCTGTGCTTGGTGACCTTGAAGGTCTTTTCCAATCTACACGATTCTGTGATTAATGACAGTGCAACTGGTATGCTTGTCTTGGCATGAGCTTTTCAACGTGTTCGAAGCTACGGGTGAGCAGTGTGCTGCTCCAAAGTCCCAACATAAGCTGCTCACCACCTTCAAACCATCCGTGCCCTTCCCTGTGCCTCTCCCAGCCGTGTCTGCCAGCATCTTTTGGGAGGTGGGAGCTGAGACGCCATGCCCTGTGGATTTGCACAATAGCTGTAATGCGTGTGGTTTTCTTCTCGCCGTCACCAGCAGCGCTGATCGCTGAGCTGATGTTTCCTGCGTTACCCACAATAACTGAAAGATCTTTCCTGAGAGATAATAGTCAGTAATTGTGGTTGGCTCGCCCCTCTGGTATGCGTTCCCTTATTAACTTGAAATTTAATTTGTTGTCAGAGAGCGAGCAGGGGAGGCTGTGAAGAGGCACCGTTTGCTGCAGAGCCGTTGGTGGGGACTAAGGAGATTTCCAGGAGCTAAGAGAAGTCAGGGGACGTCTTCACAGCCCTCCTTTGTGTGCTGTGTGATAGTTTGATGTCCTTATGCTGTGTGCAAAACCTGGTGCTGGAGGTGCCACCCTCGCCTGGTGGCAGTGCTGGGCCTGGTAAACCCCAGGGTACGGTTGGCTCCTTTGGCTCCAGGGCACAGTGCTGACTCACATTCAACTTGCCTCAACCAGAACCCCCAAATCCATTTCCTCACTCCTCAGGAAGGAGCACTGTGCCATTGTTTTCATTACCTGGCAGCTGCGAGCAAACTGCAAGAGAAGCAAAGGGGAGATGGCAGGTCAGGATCCAACCTCGTCCTTCACCATGTGTCACGTAGCCATGTGTCCTTTGTTTTCAAAGCTCTTCACCCTGGTGGCATTTGCACTAGATGGTGACCAAGCTGAAAAGAACAGAAATCACAGATCACCAGTGCTTGTGCTCTTTAAGTCCAAAGTAGTTGTGCTCTTTTGCCCAAACAAGCTGTAGATGCCCCATCCCTGGAGGTGCTCAAGGCCAGGAAGGATGGAGCCCTGAGCAGCCTGATCTGCTGGGGACACCCAGCCCATGGCAGGGGTTGGAGCTGGTGGGCTGTAAGATCCCTTCCACCCCAACCATTCTATGATTCTAAGTCAAGCAAGCTTCTCCACAACCCTTCAGACTTCCACACTGAATTTGACACTACTGATGCATGTTGACTTTCTGGCCTGTTACAAACCAACAGCACCCAACCATCAGCACTGAACACACATTGCCAGCACTGGGCTGTGGATTTGAATGAGACAGCTGTTTACAGAAGCCGTGCTGGGCTGCATGCTGGGACCTGCTGGCCATACCTGGAGCTGCTGCCTATAAACAAACATCTCTCGCTGCTAACAGCAACCTCCCTGAATAGCACTTCTTTTTTCCTGGTGGTTTGTTCTGCAAACAGGTTTCCTCCTGCAGGTGTTTAGGAAGACCCAATCTCAGTGCTGCCTGCACGCTGGTTGTTAATTTCACGCAACGATCGGTGCACAGAATGCAACAGCTCTTGTGTAATTTTGAGAACGGGCGACTGTTTTATTATTTTCTTTTTGCAATATGATCTTGAAAACATGTGAGCTGCGTGGGACGGGAAGCAGCACCGGGTCGGTGGTTACTCGCCCTTTTGCAGCAGCCACAGCCCAAACTTTCGGGAGGGTTGCAGCTGCCATCTGCATCCTGTATTCAGCTTCTCGGTGGTGTTTCTTGCTGAGTTTTGAGGGTTTCCTCAACATTATGTTTGCACTGAGGTCAAGCAATGGTAATTACAGTCAAACATAGTTGCAGCTGAATCTGGAATATTTGTTTTCACGTCAACAACTTCAGATACATTTCTATTTTGATTGCATTGGTTCCATGAAAGGAATGAGTTGATCTGTGTCTCCTTGAAAAGAATATCTCCTTCACATCAAGCAAAGAACTCACTGGGTGATTTAAGTGATCTTTTTCTGAGCAGGTAATGCTGATTTAGCATCAGCAAAACCTGCGCTCCTCCGATTGCGTGATACTGGGTAACAGAGGTGAGCACACAATTCCTTGCCACCAGAGCTTATCTAACCGTGGTAAGAACAATGAGAGGAGATGACAAGTGGAGGAAGTGAGAACACAGAAGGGAAGGCATTCGGTCTCCTTAGTCATTGCTGGAAGCTGGACGTGCCTCTGAAGGATGGAGCGGTGCAGTGCTTCCTTTCTTATACATCACCCATTCCTGCTTGTTCAGGGCATCCTCAGTGCAGACGTTGGCTTTCCATCCCCCATTCTCACCATTCAGCAGAGAAAGTCCCCGCTGTCAGATGACAGTAAGCAAACAAACCAGCAGAGCAAATGAAAGGTCTTCAGCAGGAAACCCCAAGTGGCAATGGCCAATCTGTGGCAAAGGAGGTTTCCATCAGTGCCTTCGCAGAGCTTTTTGGGTGAATTGGGTGGCAGAAGTGCCTGCTACACAATGCAAGGGAAGGAAATGTCATCAGCCCTGCCTTGGAGTTTTGGTAAAGAGTGCAGTTATTTCATAGACTGTTTGGGACACCTCTCTGACCGGTTTTTTTCACAGTACCAATAGGGAGGACGCTGAAGGTAGAGGGAATAGCTCTGAACATCTCATAGAATGGCTTGGGTTGGAAGGGACCCAAGG